TATCAGATGGACCAAAATATGAAGCTTTTTGAATATTTTGGTGTTTTGAAGATCAAAATGAAAACAATTCATATAAATAACATAAAAACAAATCCAAGCAAAAGAAACATCGTTCCAAATCAGGTCCTTTCAAAATAAAATGTATGAAAATAACAAAAGCTGCAGGTGTGTCTCTGTGTCTGGTGATTTTTTTTTGGTAAAAACAAGCTTGTTCTTCATTCAGTGAAGTTACTCACAGTGGATAGAGTATCCAACATTTTTACTCAAGTAAAAGTATAACGTATATTAAAAGTTAAAATATATGTGGTCATTATAAAATTTCTCAAGTAAAAAGAAAACATGCAGCTTAGTAAAAGTACTCCTAAAAGTACATTTTCCCCAAAGACTTACTCAAGTGTAACTAAGCATAGGCGTAATTTGCAGGGGGGGTTAGGGGGGTTATGACCCCTGCAATAATTTGATCAAGTCAAAATACCCCCCAAAAAATGACATCATTTGCTCAAACACAATAGAAACTAGACATGGGTTTTTACGATGTAAAAACAAGTGTGCATTGCACTTGCAGAATGAACTTTGTCCAAGTTCAAATGTGTTTTCTATACCAGCTTGTGCTTGTCAAGTCAGCAGGTGCATAGAATCAAGGTAATTGTGTGACAATATGAGGGTTGAAGAGATTTATTCTTAAAGGTACATTAGCTGGGGTTTGAACCCTGATCTCCCACATGAAAGTCCATGACATAAACCATTGGACCAATGGAGTTGCGGCAGAAGGTGGTGGCAGGGGTTGTTTTGTTTGTGTGCAGAAAGAGGCCACTTTGCCAATACAATTATTGACACTAAACTGCAATATATTACAACAATAGAGCAGTATGAGGACAATATTATAGTAAAACATCAAAATACAATCATATTAATATAGTAGTCACTGAACTACTGAGTTTAAATATTATGAAACTATGGTGCAGTACCATATTATGTAGATGCAGCAGGGTGCAGTATTGGACCAATACAAGGCTCCATTGACTGCCATTATAATTTATTAAACATTGATATTTCAAAAACTGTGTTTTACAGGCACCAAAAGGCATAGCCATCATTTGGCACTGGGGCTTTACAGATATAAATTACAATGGCAGCTCTAGGACAAAGTATGCAGGAGGAGAAGCATGGCAAAGTTGAGATGACTTGGATGGGAAACGAATCACAAWAGTGTGCATTGCATTGGCAATGCACACTGATTAACTGGTTAAGTAGACAGATGCAAATCTTGTTGTCTTTAGGTAACTTTAACCTGATGTAAAAAATTACAGTATAACTGCAATGACAGACCTTAAAGTTACCCCCTTGTAGCTAACCGAGTAAACGTAACTACTTACTGGCAACAAGTAAACCCTGTAAATACCAGGTAAATACTTCATTTATAATCTGTACTTGTACCTGGTACCGATTTGAAATAACCTTGTMATCATTCTGATTATGTTGGTTGAGTAAAGCGTAATAAAAACACAGAACTCCAGGGCACCCACTGCTTTCTTTGTATTCCCAGTCCACTTGCAGTGAAACCAGAAGAACCTCCTCAGCCCAGCAGACGCTCAGGATTCTGGGACAGCTTCGCAACCAACTGGGCCGCTAAGAAACAGGCCGAAGCTGCTGCTGCAGGAGGCCAGGAGGCAGCAGAGCAGGGCGAGGCGGGGGTGACAGAGGCTGGCGGAGGGGAGGAACAGCAGGACGGGCAGATCAACCAGGGCGGGGAGAACGAAGRGGGAGGCGGCAGCAACAACAGGTTCTCGAAGTACGTGTCTCTGGGAGGAGGAGGCGGYGAGGACGCTTCCTTCAAGTGGAACTTTGTCACCAACAAACTGGCAGAGCTGAAGACCAAGAGCGTGACGAAGACCAACTAGGTGTGGAGGACATGAAAAGAAAGAAAATTATGCAGGAACATTGATTGTTGTGTATTTTACAAAAAGGGCTAAATACTTGTAATAAAAGACAGTTATGGTAAATAATAAATTGTTTTGTTGTGGTTAAAGGTACTCAGCATATTTGTCATCCTGCAGGAAAACTCAGCGTTGTTGCTGGTTTACAGGTTCAAATCAGAGTTTGATTTCCTCAAAGTGCTTCTTAAACCACAAAAAGTGGCCTTAATACTTTTCAACAAACTTGGGTTAATCTGTAGTTTAGAAAAAAACTGGATTAAAAGATTAAAGGCAGTGATATCTGGATTAGACGAGGATTAGCTCACTTGACTTGTTCGGAATCAGTGGATTAAGGTTCAGAGGTTCTGCAGAGTGACAAAAGCTTTACACGATTGTCTACAAATGAAGATTTTTCTCAAGAAAAGAAAAAAAAGTGGAAAAGTTTAACTTTGAATGTGTGTTTGAGTTCATGTTTTATTTTCTGATTGTGACTGAGACCAAAATGTGCAATGAGTGGATATTTTATTGTGATAAAAAAGTAACAACATTCTTATTTTCAGTTGTCTGTTTTTTGCCTTTTGACTGGTTTATTCTGTTGTTTTGTTCTGATAAAAATGAATAAAGATTGTTGCACCAAAAGCTTGKAAATGCAGTAAAAGCCCACAATTTTTATACGTTGCACCTTTTAAGTTCTGATTTGTGATTTCAGCTCAGGGAAAATAGAACATGCAGGGTGACTGTCGGCCAAAATCTGCTCAATGCTTCTTTTATTTCTTTACTTTTATTTTGTCATTTTCAAATGTTACAGATTATTGATATTTTGTTTT